TTTATTTAACGGTATACTGGGTTATGTAACCTGAAACAAAGAGTCCACAGCGCAAAGCAGTGGTAGAACAACGCGAGTGTAATCGAAGAATGCGATTTTTCGAGGCGAGTCTCGCGAGAAAACCTCTGCCTACTTAGAGCATGGGTTGCCCACGAGAATTTCACAATCTGTAGCTAAGCAGGCTGACGTCATAGTGAGGGTTCTTACCTGTGAAATTACTTATTCAGCCGCTCAAGAAATTTACCACTTTTTAAAGAACCCCAAGGTTCGTTACAAGATCCACACTTGAACCTTGTCGATCATGAACAAAATTAATCAAGTCTAATGCCCTGTTTCTTCAAGATCCAGCGTATCCGCCCATCCAAGCCTATGTCTACCGAGATGTCTGTTTATTTGATATCTTATGAACAAAATATTGACACAGATAAGTAAATAGATAGGCATAAGATTTGTTTTCTGCAGGTCCTTAGTGGATTCTAAAGTATTCTGACGATGATGTATTACACTCTGGATTACTGAGATGCTTTTCTTTATCCATCGCCTGGTATTTAAAAAATGCACATTTCGAAAACCGGGTGTTTTGGTCACGTGTAAGGATGAGGAGCACCGACTCCGCTAGGAGATTGAAAGTAGGTGCACGTTTTTCCTACACTTGAGGTCGAAAACAAGTCCAGTTTTCGAAATGTTGTGGGTTTTTTAGAGTACCAGACGATGGACAAAGAGACCAAACACAGGGAAATCCATTTTACCTTAATGGCTTCCAACATTACAGTATTACATCCATTAACGCGAAATATTCCTGCAGCAGACGTTTTAAAAACTTCCTCTACAAATATTACTTTGTGCAAACACTTACTGTAACGAATACAAGTAAAATATGAATAATTAGTCTCGTTTCGGGGGGGGGGGGGGGGGATAAAAGACCAAACTTTCTCTGACCACACATCCTCGTTTCTCTGTTGTGAAATTCGACACAAGTCTTTGTAACGCGTTCGCTAGGCACCACAATGATAGTCTTAAATACCAAGATGGCTGCCAGCAAAGGAAAAGCCGCACGCTGGCTTGGCAATAAACAAATGAAGTACGCGGTACGACCGGCGTGGGATTGCCGGCATCTGCCGTCGCCGCCGCCACCATCGAAACAAGAAGAAGAAGAAGAATCAGTAACCTACAGGCGCCCGCCAAAGTAAACCAGAGGGCGAAAATAAAATCTTCTCACAATCAGTGGCGTACGGTCTAATTGATATAAACTAGGGTTTGGAAGTGGCGAGAAAACGGCTTTCAGGTCACATCCGGGTTGTGTCAAATAATTCATTAAACTTGCAATTACTTAAATATCCAAAAAAGTAAATTAACACAAAAACAGAAACTAGAAAGTCACAAATTAAAAATAATCGCAGGTTATAAATAAACAAAGGAAATAACAGAATAATGGAAGAAAAGAGAGCATGAAGCACATAACAGAGATGAAATAAAGGCAAGAAGAAGGAAACAGAGAAGTGACAGCGAGATTGGAAACGAAATAAAGATATAAAGACATACAGGAAGAATATAAAATGTTCAACGCCATTTACAAAACAGTTAACACTGTTACTGTAATCGTTCAGTAATCCAGTCCAACAGAGTTCACGCATCCACAGCGCTTAAAATATTCTGTATCCATAATAGTAACCAATATAAAACCTCGCACTAATCTTTCTAGTCCAGTTGAATTCTTAGCCGACATCACTGTTTTGCGAAGGTGAGGAATGTGGTGTCTGCACGCCACTGACGGGGCATCGTGGTCTGAGAGGCGACTCAAAGGGACACCCGAGGGTGGGGACTGGTATGAATCGATCAATTACTGGCAATCAGCATAACATACATACTGGATTGTGTGTAGC